GCGGCACTCCGGTGCAAGTCTACGTGGCACTTCGGTGCAATTATACGAGCTGTGGTGACAGCATTAGTGCACAACCTCTATAGACTAACATACCTATAGTTCTCACATACGTCCATGGGCTAATCAGGAGATAATAACAAATATATGTTTGTGATATGATAAATGTTGTGTGTGTGTATTGTTTGATTAAGGGGTTAAGTATAAAAGTATGTGATTAAAAGATAAACTGTGTATGATGCTTTATGTGTATGTAAGTATATTTTGTTAAGTAATCTGATATGATTTTGTATGCTATAATGAAATAAGGTGATTTAGTATAGCATGATAGAATGAAACATGCATGCATTGTTAAATGTTATCAAGTGCATTATAATTTTTATTTGCCTCACTAAGTCATCGACTTAGCGTGTGAGTGTTTCACACGTAGGTTTCGGAAAGCTAGAAGAATAGCTAAGAGAGCAAGACAGGTCAGCATATCCCTTACAAATTTCAGATCAGAAAATAGATGATTTAAATGATTTTTTATTATTTTGAATATAATTGGCATGTACTAAGAATTGAGTTAATATGCTTTGATTAATTTTAGTTATTGTGGTCAAGTTATGTAAATAAACTGTTTTTACTTTAATTAAAGCTTTAAATATTCTTTGAATTTTGTCAAGAGTTAAAGTTTGAAAAGTCAATGTGACACCTTGGACTCGTATCCGGGTCGGGTATGGGTTGGGGGGTGTTACAATTCAGGGGAAAAAGAAAAATTAGAGAGAGAAAGCAAAAAGTTAAAAAAAAAGAAAGGGTTTTCGAGGGAGAGAATGAAGAATTAAAAGAAAAACAAAAGTGGGGAAATACCTTTCGAAGAAATCTGAGAGGAGCAAGATACATTTAAGACGGAGTTGATTTGACGGTCCAACAACAAGGTCGAAGGTAAGAAAGCCGAATAGTCTCAGCCTCGATTCATCGACATCGAGGCATTTTCTTCAAAATAGAAGCCCATATCCATACTGAGGAGGTGGAGGCACTTCTATTGGTGGTCATCTCGCTCTCCTTTGTCGCCGGCAAGTGACAACGGACGGTGGTTTACGGCGGTCATCGCGGTAGGACCTCACCGGTTTCTAGGAACCCCATTAAACCCGGTGAGGCATTGGGAGAACTCTCCCAAAAATGTTTTTGGGACAAAGGCAAATGAAGAGAAAGGGTCAGTTTTAGCCACATTTTACTCATTTATATCATGCCTGGAATGACGTCGTTCTGAGAAGAGGGATATGCGTTTTTAGCGCTTGGGTTATTTGCGAGATAGGTCCCCTTGGATTGTAATCTTTCTATTCCGATCACCAATGCAACTTTATATTTCTTTTACTTTGGGCTCATATCTTAGTTTATGTTATAATTTAGTCCCTGTTTGCTTTCAAATCCTTTCATGGTCTTATTCAAGTTTGTGTCATTATATTTTAGTTCATTTACATTTCAGTAATACATGTTTCGAATAGTTCATTTTAGTCATTGTTCCTTATAATTGTGCTTTTTATTAAATTGTGATTGGTGGTATTATGATTTTATTTCTTTTCATTTTGGTCCTACCCGCCGTTTTGGATTTATTGCTATTTTAATACTCTTGTTATACACTGTTTGTAGAAAGATCCTGACATGCTTCCTGTTGTTCATTTAAAATTATGTCTTCAATTTTTAAACTAAGTATGATCAATTCTTTGGTGGTATTTTATTCTATTAGGATTGTATTCGTGATTTATAGTCCAAATTAAAGTTTTGTTATATCAACTGTTTATATTAGGGTTCATAATTTCATATGTAAATATATATGTGTATGAATCAATTAAATGCTGTTTGTCACATTTGTACTAAGTATGTTTTATCCTTAGTATTTTTCTTTTACTTTGTGTATGTATTAAATTGTTTGTTTTTTATATTCCAAATCCTATTCAGTAAATTATTATTTCATGCTTCTTTGTTTGATCTAAGATGTATATTTTAATGTTACTCGAATTTATTTTCAAGAACATCAATTTGTAGAATGGGTGTGAAAAGCACTGTTTGATCGAAGTAGTATGATTCAATATGACATTCAAACGATAAGTGAACTTGAAATTAATCAAATTTATTTTAATTCATTCCTTTATTTTAGTTTAATAGCATTGTATGTTTTCTTAAATGATATGTCATGTTGTTTTATGAAATTACCAATATTTTTTGTTTGATTTGCTATCTTTGATAACAATGAAGAGGAAATATTCTTTTACGTATAAGAAATAGGCGAGACACCTTTCCTGCGGGAGGATTGCTAATCTCAAGATTTCTTTTAAAGTTAAAGAGTTTTTCCTAATAACTAATTCAAAACAAATTAGTTAAACTTTAATAAATGGATAATATTTTAACTTTATGTTCGATGTACAATTTCCACCATTTACGACAACATGTAAGCGATTGAGTACCAATTTTGGGCGTTGTGGGGGTGCATACCCTTTCCCACGCGTAACCGACTCCCGGACTCTTTAAGCCGAGTTTTTGGTAAACACATACCAAGTTTTGTCTTAAAAACGATTTTTCCTTAAAATTATTTTTAAAACGTTTTAGGTATTCGACCTACTTAACCCAAAGGTCGATGACGACCCCTATTCCATTTAATTCAAATTAATTCAAAATCGATAATTTTTCAAATAAAAAGTCATAATTGTTTTGTTTTTTTAAACAAACTTAATTGTTTTCTAAAAAATTGTTATGACAGATATTATTGTAGAGAATTGACATAAACTTGGTGATGGGATTTCAAAACAGGTGAGGCAAGATTAAGTGGGATGACCAATTTGTTTCATACAAGTTGTTTTAAAAGGTGGATTGAAAAGATGAAATTGAAAGAAACTTTTTTTGTCCACATTGGAACTAAGCCATTAATAGGAAATTTCCACATTCTGAGTGGATTCAGTTGATGCATCTTGGCAAGCCCGTTTCTGAGATTGTGGTAGTTCCTGGCAAATCAAAAAATTAAGCCCCTAAATTACAGTTTTTATTTGTGTCTTCGATCGTGTTGCGTTTATTACTATTGCAGACGCAACAGATGATATTGCGATCACCGCAAGGATCGTGGTTGTAAAATTTTTAATAACATATGCTATTGGGGACATAACAATTATAGATATCACGGTTTCAGATGATGTCATTATCAATGCATAACGATCATTGTTGTAGTTACAGTCAATTATTTAAGTATTTGTTGTGGTTACATAAAAATTATAAGGAAAACTTCATAATAACAAGTATCGAAAAAAAGTCCTAATAATAAATATTAAAAAAGAGTAAATTTTAAAAGTATACTCATAAAAGTAAATATTGAAAAAATTGGACGTTTAATAAAAAGTACTAAAAAAACAAGACTCATAATAATAAATAAATATTAGAAAAGAAATTAAAAATTTAAAAGTATACCCTTAGCAACAAATAATGAAATTTTTGAATCCTTTCAATAACAAATGTTAGAAAAAAAATATTGATAAAAAATTGAACACTTATACACATTTAAAAAAAATAAATTATAAGAGTAGACCCCTAATAATAAATATTAAAAAAATTAATCTCATAATAATAAATATTGAAAAAAATACAGTTTTAATAATAAAATTATTTATCTCAACATTTGAGTTCAAAATCAGTCTCTAAATCAATTTGACCTGTATAATTTCTAAGCGTAAATTTTCCTCGCAAACATTAACCGTAGTCTTCCTCTGTCGCCTCTATTTTTTATCTTTATGAAGACTTTCTTTGATCATCGTTATTATCAAATGACTCGTCGTTGATAAGATTAGCAGCGTCCCTACTGCCCACTTCGACCTCCATGATTCCGCGCAAGCGTAAGCCCATCCAAAACTGCCCATAACTCGGCGTGAAGGACCCAGCAGCGACCAATATTTCTGCAAAAACCATTCACCCAAACTGCCCCTCCACACGAAGGTCACATGTCCCCCAAGAAGGTTATCAATCAGGTCTAATTTCATCAATGTTTCTTAAGTCTTAAAGTACCCTAAGTCTAAGAACAATCATATCTTATCATATATACTAATCAAGACTATTACGCGGTTAAATCATGAATTAGGAAAATTGGTTTTCAATTTTTCATAAAAGGTTTATTTTTGTTATACATTAACATTAATATCCCGCTAAAAACATTTAAATATATAAAACTAAAAAGTATATACTCACAATACACTAAATATAAGTCCTTTTGCCCCTAAAGCACATTAAAGCCGTTATTTTCTCAAAGCAGATTGGTTTAGGTGGGCCAAATTTTGGTGATTTCTTATTAACATTTTAGCTTTTGCTTCTTTTTAGTAATTCCACTTGGTGGGTAATTATTATCTTAATCACGTTTAGAATTTAGATTTCCAACATAAAATGATGATATAAATATCCAATCTTCTAATAAAGTATATAATTAAAAAACGAACAATGAGATCATAATGATTGACATTCTTTGATCCAACGGTCTATATCAACTTTAGCCCCCCAAAATGACGCATAATCCGGACAACAAATCCGCTAAAGTTCTTTGAAGCTAAGCCAAGTTCCATTTTTTTACTTTGTAGCAGTTCCCAGAATTAACGAAGTTCTAAACTTCAATGGGTTCTTTTTAATTTTTACAAAGAACCCATTAATCCTAAAATGGTTGTGGAGTCATTTTCATGTTGGCAAATGGATAGCTTTCAGAGAGGTGGTGATGGGTTTTGGCTTTATCTATGTATTCCATTTTTTTGAATGCTTTTATTATTTATATATTAAAAAAAACCATCAATCTTTGTCCCTTTTTCTTAATTGTGCTGTTTTATGTCTCACCTCATTGAAAATTTGACACCTTTCTTCTTTTCCCTCCTTTGTTTGTTTCCAATTTAAGAATATAATGATTATCCATTCTCCGTATAGCTTCTCTGGAGTTTATGCTCTTGCTGGCTTCTCTCGCTCTCTAGTTTATTAATACCCAGGTTTGAACTTAAACATCCCATCATTTATTTTAGCCTGTTTTTTTGTTACTTTCTCTTTAGTTTGGGTGATTGTTTTGGTCTAAAAGAAGCTTAATTTCAACTTCTTGCGTTGTTTAAAAACTGTGGAGTGAAGTGGCCTGTTGAATTCTGGTTAGGTAGGTGTCCCTTCTACCCCATTAATGCAGTTGTTTCTGGAGTGGAGGGAAGAAAGTCTTTGACGCTGTTATTTCAATCGGTGTCATGTAGACCATGTGCATTTAATATTTGAAGTAACCATACTTTAATAACAGCTGCTAATTAGGTAAGCCTAAATGTGTTTTTTGCCTTTTTGGACACTTATATGCATTGGAGGCCTTTTCATTACTTTTCTTCAGTTTTGCCGTCTCTAGGACTGTAGATAGATATACTAATATGAACATTTTGAAGTTTGCTATATGATTTAGGTAAGAAAAATACTGTACAGTGGTACTGAATGTATTTCAACATGGTATTACTTGTTCCTTGCTTGCTTTACTATACTGCCTGGGGAGGGTTAAAGAAATACAATTAGCAGCCCTAGATTTGTTGGCCAACCATGAATTTTACAATAGCCATCATCATATGTTGATTTTCTTTTCTGATATTCTTGCCAAGTTGCCATCATACTACAGTTTGGGTATGAATGTAAGGGCATCGTGTTTACTTAGTTTGAGATTCTAGTGCTATATCATATGCGTTTGATTCAATTCAATTTTTACCACCTTTTGGTTCTCATATCCCCCCCTCTTTTTTGGCAGATTGGAGGCATTTAAGATCAGGGAAGTTTGCACAAACTGTACCCCTCTGGCTCCTAATGAAGGTTTATATATCTACTGTATTATGTATGTAATTTTGGAGTTACTTTCTTTTCATTGTTCTACCTGGTTGTGGAATTCATTACTTCATGTTAGTCATGCTTCTGAGATACATCCGGCGAATATAGTTTGATACTTGGATTGTATTTTCCAATAAAAATTGAGGTTTTTCATCGAACTGACAAAGTTGGAGTCTACCATTTTGTAATAACTCGGGCATTTTGCATATTATAGGGAATCCGCTCATGTTATTTTGACAAAGTAATTCGTATGGTTTTAGCTTTTTGTCTAAGAATTAAAATCCGGATATACCGATCTAGTCCTCTCATTGTTTTCAGTTACATTGCTTTGACTTGCATGATCAATATCTACTTAGTTGAAGCAGTGCATGTTCTGGAAATGTACAAATAACTAGATATTATGATCTCAACAGGTTAGTGTTCATATTGGAATAAATGAAGCTTGAAATGGAAGTTGTACTTGCTTGTCTTGTTACCTTGATTTGGATTCAGCAAGGTCTTTGTGGTGAGTCTTCTCTCTTAGAATCTCGCTCTCTTTCTATCTGTTTTCTAAAGTTAAATTTTGGTTACAATAGCACAATCGCTACATAGCTGAATGTCCTTGTGTTCATTAAATGACAGATGAGTTTTCCAATACATCTGGAACAAGAAACTGGACATGCACATGCTCTTCCTTTTATCCTGGAAAACAAAGTGATGTTCTTAAATCTAACTGTTCTAGATCCTGTGATTGCAGTCCAGGTATGCAATATTATTTTGGTAGAATATTTCGGAATCTTTAAATTACTTTCATGTAACTTTGCTCTATTTTATTCTCTTTAATTACTATGAAGTCTCAAAAGTAGACTTCGTTGCAATATTTTCGTGTCGAGGATGCTTCATGCTTATGTAATATCCAGCATTTTGTGGAGTTACTATCATTTTGTATCTAAAACATCAAATTGCGTGGCATCCTATGTGGCAGTTGAACCAAATGGAGGTAGGTGGAAATGTATATGTGCTACTGATGGATTCCCCAAAGTAGCAAACAATCATGATACTACCTGTTTTACTGCCTGCAATTGCACTGCTGGTAATTTCTTCAACAATATATGTTGTTTTTGTAGAATTCGATAGTTCAACTGCTATATGTATCATGAACTAGACAGATTTTTCAAGTATTTTATTTCATATTTAAATACTTAGGAGCTTATACAATGGAACTTAATTGTACATTTTGACAGGATCTCTTCCCGAGACGCCAGTGAGAAAGAACTACACTAACAGAGTTGTTGTGATTGTTCTTTTACTCTGTGTGATCCTCACAACGTTGGCATTTCTTGCTTCGTTAACATGCTATTTGTACCGAAAGGACAAATGCCCGAAGTGCCCCATCAGACTGGCAGTATTCTCGTCAGATAAAGAAACTAGTTGCAACAGTGCTACCAACTTAATAAGTCACATGACTTCATCGGCGTCAGAAACTAAGGGTATATAAGCTTTAACATGTTATAACTTGCCTGTCTTTGATAAACTTCATTTGCTTTCAATTGTGATTCAATTACAAATGCTCGACCATTTTGATTTATTTTGTTTTTTGAACCTTGCATGCTGCATTCTTCATTCTGAACTTAGTTTGGACATGTAATGTACGACGTCAGCTATTTTCAGGATGCTTTCAAAGTGCTTCATTCCTTTGTTGGAACAAAACGGGGACTGTGCTTGGAACAATTTGCCAGTTTGCCTACTCTGAACTGGAAAATGCAACCAATAAGTTCTCCGATTCCAATCTAATAGGACTCGGAGGAAGTAGCTATGTGTACCGGGGCCAGCTCAAGGATGGAAGAATTGTTGCAGTCAAGCGACTTAAAATTCAAGGAGGTGGCCTTGATGCAGATTCCATCTTCTCAACAGAGGTACAATCTCAACTTGCTTATTTTGTCTAAAGTTTTCTAGTTAATTAAAACTCATTGTTTTCCATCTTTTAAAAAGATGTTCTCAAAACGCAATGAGGTATTTTACAGTGTTATTTCATGTAGGTCGAGCTGTTGTCGAGGCTACATCACTGTCATGTGGTGCCCTTGCTTGGTTACTGTTCAGAATCCGGTGGGAAACATGCCGATAGACTGCTGGTATTCGAATACATGCCTAATGGTAATCTGAGGGATTGTTTGGATGGAATTTTGGGGGAGACCATGTCCTGGGAAACTCGTGTCAGGATTGCTATTGGTGCTGCAAGGGGCTTGGAATATCTCCACGAAGCAGCTGCTCCTAGAATTTTACATAGAGATGTAAAATCTACAAATATTCTTCTTGACAAGAACTGGAGAGCCAAAGTAAGACGGTTTACTTTTAGACATCTAACATACGTTAATTTCTCACCCGTTGGTGTACATATTGATTACTGAAAATGTTCAGATAACTGATCTCGGTATGGCCAAACGTTTAAGAGCTGATGGACTTCCCAGCTGTTCGAGTTCTCCAGCAAGAATGCAGGGAACCTTTGGCTATTTTGCCCCAGAATATGCAGTTTTCGGAAAAGCCTCACTTATGACAGATGTTTTTAGTTTCGGTGTAGTTCTTCTGGAACTGATCACCGGTCGGCAACCCATCCATAAATCAAACAATAGAGAAGAAAGTCTTGTTATCTGGGTAAAGTATCCATTTCGTGTTACTGTTTCTCCTCTTTAATGCAATTAAACCATCTGTTCGTCTGTACTTTGTGCCATTCAGGCTACCCCTCGTCTACAGGATAGTAAGCAAGTGAGCTCGGAGTTACCTGACTCGCGTTTAAAAGGGAATTTTCCTGAAGAAGAGATGCAGGTAATGGCTTACCTAGCAAAGGAGTGCCTACTGTTAGACCCTGATACTCGGCCAACAATGAGCGAGGTTGTGCAAATTCTATCAACTATTGCTCCTGATAAATCGAAAAGAAGAAATATTCCCGTAAACTTTTACCAGGTGACCTTCTTAAATCCATTTAGAAAGTTGACTATCGCATAACAATTCAATGAAACTACTAGCAAGAGTATGCCACTTGCCAATAATGTTGCAAGGTCCGTTAACTGCGCAGATGTCATCCGCCCATAACATGAAGAATGATGCTCTTCTCGAAAGGCATCAAACCGTAATCGAGGATTTATACGACACAGAGGACCACATGTCGACGACATCAAGGTCAGCAGAGAGCTCAGTGCCATCAGGCACGAATGATATTGGAATCATCGGCAACCAAACAGGTATTCTTCCTGCTGAGTACTGTATGGAGAGGCTGGTTCTTTTGAGTTCCAATGCTAGGAGTTCTCATGTCATTGACGATGAAGCAGTAGACTTAATTGAGCCTCGATTCGAGTCGTTCGGCATGGTAAACGTCAAGTCCCCGTGAGAACAAGTATTCTGTCTGATGATGATGGAGGGTTGCTTGTGTTACAAGTAGGTGAAGTTTTTCATTGATTGCATTTCATGGCTTTTGTACAGAAAATTACACGAAAATTAAAATTCAAATCAAGTTTGTATAGTAACCGGTGGATCCACTTCCACCTCCGACTGTACCGTCCTCTTACGGCAGAGGATTTCCGGAATTTCGATATCTGTTCTCCAGTAACACAATTTGGATATTACATTATATCAATGGCTAATTTGAGTGGCATGGATGAAGTGAACAAGTGAGGTTAAAGAAAGTTGGATGTTAACGATTAGGAGACCAAATATAGAAATGAAAATGCAGCAGACGTGATCTGTCTGGCTGTGTCGGTTTGATGCATTAATTGACATTGTCATGTAATTACAATTACTTATGGTTGGTGTCTGCTGAGCATAAGCTGGCAACGTGATTTTGACACGAATAAGAATAAGAAGAAAACAGCTGTAACAATTACACTTATGGACCAGATTTTAATATTACGAACTTGAGTTCACATGTTCTAATTATCATTATTAATTTAAATATTTTTATTTTACGATAACGAATTTTGATTCTAGTATTGAATTATCTTTTCATTTAAAAAATCTTATTAAAATAGATTTTATGTGACGGATTTAAACATTCAATGAATAATTTAATAAATTCAAATTTAATATAATTTTGGATTCAAGTTTTACATATAATAATCAAGGGCTAAAGCTAAAGCCCGGTTTAAAAAAAATGAAGGGCTAAAGGCACGGTCAAGAATTACGCAGGAACTATTCAACCTGTGACATGAATACTGACTTGCTGTGCCTCCAACTTCATTCAAAATTTTCAATACGATGTGGGGTAAGCTTATCCAAACAAATAATAAACAAAATAAAATTAAATTAATAACAATGAAAGGATTACATTCGGAGTACAAATCTATAATAAATAGTTACTTTACTAACCTATTAAAATTTAGATTTAATCTTTTAATATTATTTTTAATTAATAAAAATAACTAATTTTATCAAATAAGAGAAAATATTTAAAATTTACAAAATAAGAATAAACTAATTACATAAATCAAATTGAAGTGCACAAATTAACCGCTTAAGAATGAAAATAATTATACGGGTTAAAAACTCAATAAACAACTCTTACAAATGATAGATACAAATAATTACTATTTTAAACTGTGAAGGATAAATAATTTTAACAATAACTTAAAAATTTATATAACAATAAAAGCTCGTTGACAAACCAATATTAATACAACTCAACTATGATATATTATCGATGATATCGAGAATCCAAAATAGAGATATATCAATAAGATAACCAAACAAATATCATCGGGAGATGTTACTTCAAATCTAACCCTGATAAAAATTATGTATTATAAGAACGAATAAAATCACCATAATTTTTATACGAGAATAAGGTTAATTAGATAAAAAAAAATAACATGATTCAAATTGTAAAATATCCAACCATCAATTGCTAATCTTAATATCACCCCTTAATTTTATTTTTTTAAGAACAACCAATGAAATAATCAAATAGAATTAAATCCAGATATGAATTCGACAAATAGAATTAAATCCAGATATGAATTCGATATTTCATAATATATAATGCAAGGATCGTAAATCATTTAAATAAAATATTTTATAATTCTAATATCAAATTATTAGTAGGACTGTTTTCCTAATAAATAAATCATATATATGTATTTATGCATTACGTTTATAGAGTTTTACTTATTGCATATCATTATGATTAGGATTATTGTTATCGTAACACATAAAACAATACAAATTTAAATATATTTAAATGTTTTTTTAATTTATAAATAAAATAAAAATAAAATTATCAAATAAATTTTAATTTTTAAATCTATTTTTAAGAATATTATAAACTAAAAAATAGGCCGCTATTAAACTTGAAAAAAGTTAGATAAAGGGTCCAAATCTTGGTGATTACGAATTGAGCAAATTAGATTAGGAAGATCATCTCGTAACAAGTCTTTATGAAACCCGCTTTGAATTAATCAATCAATAAATTTGATATCATTAGTTAATTAAAAATAATAAAAAAACTTGAAAACGCTATGATAAGAGGGAAAAAAACTTGATGAACAAAAAGATATATTACTTTGAAGAAAAAGAAAGCAAAAGTCAATTGATTTTTGAAATAACTATATATTTAGTCATCTAATTAATTTTACAATTTTGTTTTGGCTATGTAACTATTTTATTTTTAAATTATACCTAAATTTACGTTTTGATTTTGTTTTGATCACTCATTGTAAAAAAAATAAGGTGATGATGACATGTTGTCATAAGGTAATATCACATCATCATTTAAAAATAAAAAAGTATCACGTCAACAGTGTTGTTTATATTTTAACGGAAGATGACCAAAATAAAATCAGAATATAAATTTTTGTATGATTTTAAAAAAAATAGTTATGTGACCAAAACAAAACTGAAAGAATAATTGGATGACTAAATAGGTAGTTTACCCTTAATTTTATATTGCCTTCACTTGTAAGCTTTCTTCTTTAGATTGCAATCTTACAATTCCTTTACATAGTCACGTGAGATCCGTCTTTCTCTTACTTCTTGTTTTATTATTTACTTTTAGTAAAAATGATAACAAAAGAAAATTAGTTGCACTATCATATACAATTACCTTTTTCTTACTTTTGAATTAAATTATAATTTCTGTTTTTACATATTGAGATTAATTTAATTGATATGTTTTTTTATATATTATATAAAATAAAGTGTGATAATAAAAGCTTGTACCAAAATTATATATTCCTTATACAACAACAAACACACAATAAATGATTCGGATATTGATGATTATGAATGAAGTAAATTAAATTGAGAATGTCGTTTTATAATGAATTTTTGTAAAATTCGATTTGAATTATTTTTTACATTGTTTAAAAATGATTTTTAATATTTAATATTCTTTTTTGAATAACAACTACTTAATTTTACTAATAAAAATAATAGAATGAATCATTATTACAATATACTGAAATAAAGAGAGAAAAATAGAAATAACAGTCACACAAAAAACCGAACTAAAATAAAATATTAGACTCAAAGATACGAAGAAAAATAAAATATTCTTTTAAGAATGGTGACCAACATCAAAAGTACCTATTAATCTTTATAAAAAAAATTTGTTTATGTTAAACGAGACACTTTATGAAGTGGTGAACAAATCAAACTATTTGGCAAGTTGCTTCACTCACAATTCTAATTATATCGACAAATAATCTTTTACCAAGAGGAGATCTGACTGTACATGCTCACTGACAAACCAATCATAAAATAAATGTCTTGAGGATCTTTGTGCGAGCACCAAAACAACCGCAAAAGTATGCAAAAAATATACCAAAAACCATAAGAATCGTGTCACAAGAGTAAAAAGAAAAAGAAAAAAAAAGTCTGCCACAAGAACTGAAATTCTTATTCAAAATTAGAGAAAAACTCAATTAAAAGGGAAAACAAAGAACATAATACAAAAAAATTAAAAAATTAATAATCATCTATGATCGACAACCAATATTAAGATTAATATCGTTATTAATTAAACAAAAATCAAAATAAAAGACGAAGGAAGCACAAAAACATTGAAAGAAAATCTAAGTTAAAAAAAAGGAGAATGAGTGCATATTTAATATAATAAAAATGTTGGTCAAAATTGACTCAAACTAAGTGATCTAGGTGGTAAAAATAATTGTTGTTATTTTTTGAGATTTTGAGTCAGAGTACTATAAATGCTAGGAGTATGATAATATCAAATGATTAAAAGTTATTTTCAAACAAATATTACCTTATATTTACCCAAATTAAAAAAAACATAATCAACTCTAACGTTGGTCAAGGTTTGTACTAATATTTAATATTTTCTATATTTTTGAATAACTTTTGAAACTTCTAAGAGGTTCAATAATTAATATTTTAATAATTTAAAAATATTTTTAATTTTTTAATAAAATTTAAATAAATCTCTTAAAAGATTAAAAAATATAAAAATATTATGAGAATGTGTCATATGAAAGATATAATTTAATTTTATATAATTTATTCTTCCACTTGTATTAATATTATACCTTAATACATATCACTAACACTGTTAATTTTATTTTATTATGAATAAAAAGAAATATAAATCATGAGGTTTAGTTAGAATTTGTTTGCCGACTACAATTACACCTTTTATATGACATATTGAATTTTGGGTTTCCAATTATTTTATAAAATTCCGAACTAACGATTCTTTTATGTTGTTAAATATCTATATTGAGGAAAAGAAATTTTCATATTTATTGTCAATGTTTTAATATTATTAATGAAATAAATTAAATTAAAATGATCATTATATAATTAATTTTTATAATATTTGATCAGTGACGGATCCATGTTTATGTAAGGTTGCACAAATATCTATACTGAAATTTATATTTTCTTCTGATAATTATTCATTTTATTGATTATGTCAACTCTAAAAATTTATTTATGTATATCTTATAAAAAATTATAGATGAAGTTAATATATATATTTATCATAAAAATATTTATGAATTCGAGATTGTGTTTGATTCGAGTTAAACTATTTATTACGGGTGTAAACTGATAAATTACATCTCTTGGACAAAATACATGTAGATATTCCACCAAGCAAGACTATCTGCCGTAGTTTACTCCTCGGATCTTACAAAAACAAAATTTAATATATATTAAATTTAAAGATATTTAAATAAAAATAAAACAAAATTTATAAATAAAAACAAATGGCAATCATAGTGCATGGACACACAGCCCTCTTCACCTTTATCTTTGGACATATTCATATGGCTCTTCTCTGTATTTCTCTTCTCATCAATAATTTGATAATTAAAAAAATCCAGCAAACTAAAAACGATAAGTTGGTTCTTTTTTCTTTCAAAGTTTTAGGAAAATTTTAAAAAGTAAATCACAGAGAAGGGTTTCTCTTCATTGCTATATAACTATGGAAACTGTTGCTTAAACTTTCCATTTCCAGATTCTTTCCAGCTTTTTGGTGGCACCCAGCAAATATCAATGCTATAATTACCCTTTTATTTGTGTAGAATCATATCCCTTTTAGGTTTCCTTTATTGACTTGTGCTCTTCCAAGTTGCTTGCACTTGCATTAAAATCAAGATATTAAGACAACAATTGCTATGG